CACACACCCCCACAGCTGCCCGCCCGGAGGCCCACCCTACAGCCAGGACGCTGCTCAGGCAGGTGGTCACACCACCTGGTGGCACATGCACTGAACGCCAGGCCCCCGGCCACACCATTTCATCATGACAACCTTGTGAGGTGGGTACAATTACTGGTCTCATTTCATAGACAAGGAAACTGAAGCAGGAAGCAAAGAAGACAGGCGTCTGGCTCTGAGGCCTGCGCTCTCCAGAGCCCTGCCCTGCTGTCCACAGATAGGCAGGGCCCGTTCACTCCTGTGCCCAGCGCCCGGCACTCAGGGGCACTCAGCAAGTGTCTGCTGGGGCCCAGAATGACCGGAAGTGGCTTCAGGCTGGGGCCTGGGGGCAAGTGTGTGACAGAGGGAAGACAGGGTGTCTGAGCTGCTAGCCCCTAGCCTAGCACCCCCCTCCCTCACTCCTGCCAAGGCCCACCTCTCGGAAGAGGGCCCCGTAGAAGGTGACGGTGTAGAAGCAGTCGACCGTGCGCATGTTCACGTCCAAGTCCATGAGCAGGCGTTTCTGCTCCTGGGAGTTCACGGTGGCCCGGATCCGCTGCCAGTGAGAGGGCCGCAGGTCAGGGGCCACGGAAAGGAGGCAAGCCACCACCATCCTCAGCCCCACACCTCCTTCAGGCAGCTTCCCAGGTGTCCTGTGGCCCAGCGCTCCCTGGCAGGGCAGGACCCTGCTTACCTTCACAGCCATGATGGTGCCGCTCTGGGCGTGCCGCACCTTCTCCACCACCCCATAGGCTCCACGCCCGAGCTCCGAGATGGTCACCAGGTCATCGGCCTCCACCTCAAAGTTCTTAGGGAATAGAAGAGAGAGAAGGTTGGTGGTCAAAAGCCAGGAGCTGGCCCTGCCTCCTTCAGTGGAGACAGCTGGGGCAGCGGGAAGGGAAGGCAGCCAGCCGGTCAGACCTGGATCCAAGTCCTGCACCAGCCTCTCCTGCTGTGCGACCCAGGACAAGTCCTTCCCTCTCTGAGCATCACACCCCCACCTACAGAGCAGGCGCAGCACCAGTACCCCAGGACAGTCTGTGAAGTGCCCCCTGCAGGCACAGGGGGCTCAAGGGAGGCCCTTTCCCTCTTGCTCCCCACCCTACTCAGAAGGGTAGACTGAATTATTCAATTTGCTGAGTGCCTACTATGTGCAAGTCCGTTTTAGGCACTGGAGACACAGAGAGAGAACAAGGCCTTGCCCTCACAGGAAGCAGCGTGGCGTGGGCCATCTGTTCTCTCATGCTCGCCCTCTCTTGCAGGAGGCAGACCCAAAAGAAATAAGCAAGTAGATGAACTGGCCATCAAACAGGGACGAGGTCAGGGAGGAGAAATAAGCCTGAAAGGAGCTGTCTGCAGGGAGAGGCCTCCATAGTGAGGTCTCTGCCTGGAGCCCCCACTGTGTCTCGTGGGTCCAACGGGGTCCCTGACCAGGACTCGCAGTCCCTGCCCGGCCGTCAGAGGTGCCTGTGGGACTCAGGTTCCAGAATGCACCCAGGAGTCGGGCAGGGGTCTGCATGCCCCACACAGTCCCCACGGGTGATGTGGGGACAGACTCTGAGGTAAGGAAGCTCAGCAGGGCCCCAGGAGAAGGCCACTGTGCCCTTCCGAAGGGACAGTCAGCGTGAGGCTCGGGCCCACAGCCAGCGTCCAAGGAGCTGGGCTCCGCTGGAGCCCACAGCACCTCTCCTGGCCCTAGGGGTCAGCTTGGGCCCTAGGGGGTCAGCTCGGGCCCTAGGGGTCAGCTCGGGCCCTACGGGGTCAGCTCGGGCCCCTTCGAGGAAAAGCCTGAGCCCAGGCTTCAGCCAGCACCTACCCTGTCTCCAATGGTGATGAAGGTCCGGGAGTCCAGGTTCCTAGGGGGGCTTTAGGGAGAACACAGATCCCATGAGTCTCTGAGAACCACACCCTTCCCAGCAGAGAAGGGGCCAACCTGGGGCCAGAGGCATGACCATCCCCAGGAGGTGGCACTCCTCAAGGCCCCTCCTCTCGCCCTGTGCACCTGCTGTGCCAGGTGCCAGGTGCCCCCTCCACCTGAGGTGGGAGAAGAGCACAGTCCGGACCCAGATGCCGCGAGCCCCAGGCCGCGACCGCGCAGAGGGCTCCGCAGGGGCTCTGCCGGGCCCACAACCCCTCCATGCCCCGTCCACTGGGGCCCCTCCAAGAGGCCCCCCAGGCTGAGCCCAGGGAGAAACTGAGGCAGACTCACGTGGGGTTGGGCGCGGGCGGCTTGGACACACAGGATATCCGTAAGTCCTTCTTCTTCTTGGCCTTTCCTGAAAGGGAGGAGCGAGGCAGCTGAGACAGTGTCCCAGGCCCGACCTGAGCCGTGGGAACTGAGCCTCCCCGGGCGGCGCTGATCGGATGGGCATCCGTCAAGCAGAGCTGTCAGCTCCCAGTCGAGCTGCCTCCCCTCCCTGAGCCTCAGTTTCCCCATCTGTCATGTCAGGGGTGGCTGGGGAACGTGGAACAGATGCACGCTGGGGAGCACCTGGCTGCACCAGAGCCGTCCTCCTGCCCCTCAGGTTCTGCCTTTGCCGGCCCTCAAAGGGACGCCCCGGAAGCCCAGTCTCCTCATCAGGGTGCCGGGCAGGCCTGAGCCCTGAGGCCACGCCTCTCTCACTCCCACCCCGGAGAACAGGCGAGGGCTTGGCCTTCTGCGCCCGCCCCCGTGGATGATGTCCATGCCTCTCGGAACAGCCGAGTGTGGCCGGGTCCTGGGCAGGAGGTCATGTGATGCTCAGAGACTCCTCCTTGGGCACCGTGTGTGTCGGGGGGGGGGGGGGGCTGGCACGGCAAAAGGCACCTCCTTAGGCCCCCTTTTCAAGGTGCAGGAAACAAGGTGGGGACCTCAGGGAGCCTGTAGGTAAGGAGTCAGGCGGTCTGGGACCACAACCCTCGCTCCCAGCTCCCAGCACCCAGACAGGGCTATGGTTCCCAGAGAAGGGTGGGGCCTTGCCCAGGTCACTGAGCGCTGGGTGGCCGAGGGAGGACTAGACTATGACTTCCCGAAGCTCCCACCCACCCGGCACAGCCCTGCACCTGCTCCGCCACCACCCGCCTGGCACAGCCCTACACCTGCTCTGCCCCCACCTGCCTGGCACAGCCCTACACCTGCTCTGCCACCACCCGCTCCTCACAGCCCTGCACCTGCTCTGCCCCCACCCGCTCCTCACAGCCCTGCACCTGCTCTGCCCCCACCCGCTCCTCACAGCCCTGCACCTGCTCTGCCCCCACCCGCTCCTCACAGCCCTGCACCTGCTCTGCCCCCACCCGCTCCTCACAGCCCTGCACCTGCTCTGCCACCACCTGCCAGGCACAGCCCTGCATCTGCTCTGCCCCCACCTGCTCCTCACAGCCCTGCACCTGCTCTGCCCCCACCTGCCAGGCACAGCTACCTCTGACACTGGCCCGGGGAACTTGGAACCACCCGGCTCTGTGCCGCCTGCCGCGGGTGCGTGGAGCACCGAGCCCCTCTGAGCCAGGTTCCACTCCCAGCTCCGCCATGTCCCACATGTGGCCTCAGCGCCTCCCCGCGACCCCTGCACGGGGCTCCGTGCTCAGGCCCCGCAGCCAGGCCCCCTGGCCCCCCTGCCAGTGACGGGATGGGGTTGTTATTGCCGCTGGGAAGATGAGGCCGGCCCAGCTGTCCTCAGGCTTCTGAATCACCAGGAAACAGAACAGCCCGTGGAGATGGCCCCCATGTCTGTGCTGTTGTCGGGAGGCAGAGCACAGCAGTCTCCACAGAAGCCGCCTCCGGGGACCCCCAGGTGCCAGGCCAAGTTCGGACCCCACCTTCGCCTCTGCAGGGTGGTGACCTCAGTGTCCTCCTCCGCCCTCGGGGACGCACACAGCACACACTCCGCCTCCATCAGCGCCACTGCCCGTCCAGCCTGGCTCAGCGGCCTCAGGCATACGTTTCTATAAACAGCAATGGCGGCGGCACAGCTGTACTCTCTGGGCGCTGCCAGCTGCTCCTCTGGCCCTGGGTGCACCAGGGCACTCTAGGCACGACCTCACATCTGAGGTGCCTTCACTCCACTGCACAGAGAGGCGAGGTGGATGGGTGTCAGGGGCTGAGTGGGTCTCCAAAGCTTTTCATTCATCCAAGGAGCCTGCCAGTCACGTGTGTGGCCTCACTGCTCCCAAAGGGAGGAAATCGTAGCTCACTTTATTTGGGGAAACTGAGGCTCCTAGGTGAAGTCCTTGCAGTGAGTCGGGTCTGTTCTAGAGACAGACGTGAACTTGCTGCCTCAGATACACGAGCAGCCCAGCTAGCAGCTGACAGTCCCTCCTACAGTGAGTATCGCAGAGGGACAGCGCATCACATTCAGCGCTGCCAGTGCTGGTCTCTGGTGTGTGACAGGCTGAGGCTGAGTGCAAAGCGTGAGCCTCCTGTGGGACACGCACAGTCTGAATCTGCAGAGAGCTCCTCACGGACATGGCCAGCGCCCAGCAAGGTGGGTCTCCTCTGTGGGCCCGAGCAGGGGGGTGGGCACACAGCACGGGCTCTCCTCTTGGGCCTGGGCAGGGGGTGGGCACACAGCACGGGGTCTCCTCTTGGGCCCGGGTAGGGGGTGGGCACACAGCACGGGGTCTCCTCTTGGGCCCGGGCAGGGGGTGGGCACACAGCACGGGGTCTCCTCTTGGGCCCGGGCAGGGGGTGGGCACACAGCACGGGGTCTCCTCTTGGGCCCGGGCAGGGGGTGGGCACACAGCACGGGGTCTCCTCTTGGGCCTGGGCAGGGGGTGGACACACAGCACGGGGTCTCCTCTTGGGCCCGGGCAGGGGGTGGACACACAGCACGGGGTCTCCTCTTGGGCCTGGGCAGGGGGTGGGCACACAGCATGGGGTCTCCTCTTGGGCCTGGGCAGGGGGTGGGCACACAGCATGGGGTCCTGTCAGAGACCAGACACGGCCGCCGGGGTTAGAGGCCGCTCCACAGAGGGTACATTTCGTCCTAAGTAATGAGAATCTGTGGAGCCTTGTATCCTTGACTTGAGGCTTTTGTAATTAGAAGACATTTTATGTTTGAAGTGAATAACCAACGCGGGCCTGCCGGGGCCTCTCCACAGCCGCCTCTCCCGCCTTCCTTGGCTCCGCTTGCGCGCCTGCCTCCCGCCCCAGGACGAGAATGTCCTAAGATGGGCGCCCTCACCAAGCCTCGGGTTCCCTATGTATCGGAAGCTTGCACACCTGGGCCAGGCCAGGGCGTGAGGAGCACGTGGGGCACAGGCACTCGGTGAAGGGGCCGCGCGTCTGCTTCCCTCCGGCCCTGGGGGGACAGAGGAGCTGCGAGCACATGGTCGGGGCGGAGGGGAGGGGCATGGTCGGGCCCTCAGGGTCATCAGGCTGCATCTGGGGTGACATGGTCTCCCTGGGGCTTTGCCACCTGTGGGAAGGAGACGGCCCAGAAACAGGCCATAGGCCACCAGCTGCTGCCACTCTTCGCCATGGACGTCAGCACTGGGCCCAGATGGCCAGGCCGCCCAGGGCTGCCCAGGTGCGAGGCTACTGTGGCAACCGTCGCCACCACAAACAGAGTGTCATAGGCCACCACAAGCACAACCAGCCAGCCAGCCTCGGCGGGCACAGCGCCAGGCGTCTTGTCCTCGGCCTGCACCGCCTCCCAGCAGGCCCACAGGCCGGGGACAAGAACTCAGCCATGGCCTGCAACACCCGGACGTAAAGAGAGGCGCCTGGACTCAGACACAGCTCCCGCCATCTTGCAGCCCTGCCGTCATCTCCTTCCACTCACCGTCTCTGGAAGAAGCCACCTTCTCCCCCAGCTCAGGGCCTCTGCACATTCTGTTCCCTCTGCCTAGAATGTTCTCCCCGACCCTCACCTGCACCTGCTCAGAGAGGCTCTCCTGGTGGCTCCCGCTAGGCCCCCGACTGATGGCTCCCTGGCGTCCAGCTGGCCTCTCTCCTGTCACTTCCCGCAAGTCTCCTTCACAGCCGCTATGAGAGGCAGCTGGAGCCCCGCAGCCACGCCCCGGCGAGGGCTGCACCTCCATGTGCCATGCGGTGACAGACCGGCCCCCAGGGCTGAGTGTGTCCAATGCGGTGATCAGTGCCACGCCTTGGCAGCGCCTGCCGCCTTGGCAGATCAGATGGAACCACCTGGAAACCCCCAGGACCCAAGGTCACGCCAGGCCCCGGCCCCAGAAGGTCACTCTGGTGACACCTGCAGCAGCCCCACAGGGAAGGGCTTCCTGTGTCTGTGACCGAAGGGTTCAGAGCAGACGGGTGGACCACGTCACAGAGGGAGGGTCTGTCGGAGCCGATGGGAAGGCGGGTCTGCTGGCTTCAATGACCAAACACCAACCGAGAGCCTGAGAGGGGCCTTCCCACCCCCCGCCCCCCGCCACCCGTCCCCAGGCCTGGGGGGGTTCTAACTAAACACATCTGTGCCTCTCTCTCGAGTCAATCCTGGGGGCAGAGGGTGGGCAACCCTCACCATGAACCCTGCCAGGGGCTCCGCTCACAAAGGCCCCCCACCACATCCCACTCAGTCACATCCAGTCTCCAATGACAAAGGCAATGCCCCCATGTGTATTCTTCCCCTCCTGTGGGATAGTGAGTGCTCCTCATGAGCCCCGACTCCATGGAGAGGTCCTGGGCCCCAGTGTCCATCCCCTCAGGTAAAGGGAGGTGGGGGAGACCAGATGTCCAGAGGCTCCCCATGCTCCTTCCCAACCTGTCTCACTCAGCTGGTCACCTCTATCCTGGGGGGGACCCTTAGAGAGAGGTCGCCGAGGCCAACACACTCCCGGGGCACTGGTGGGGAAGTGAGGCCCAAGAAGGGGAGGGCAGGCTCTCAGGGGCTCACTAGCCCATGCCCAGCATTTGACGTTCATTATCTCCACTCACTGCAGTCATCACACCAGCTCCTGGGGGAGGTGCTCGGAGCCCCCGGTGCATGGAGAGGGGAGACACTGAGGCTGGAGCCCCTCCTACGGCATCCCTCCCTCAGCGAGGCCCCTGGGAGGTCTCGGGGTCACCCCAGTCAGGCCCTGGCAGGCGGCAAGGACAGGCCTGTCACTCAGGCAGCGGCCAGTGGGTCCCCAGTGCCGCAGGCAGCACCCTTCCCCTGAGGCCTGAGAGGATGGAAGGCTCTCTACTCACCTACACGTGCCAGGCCTGGCACCTGCCAGTCACCAGCTGTGCCCCAGCAACAGGGGAGCGGCGGGCGAGGCTGTGGGGAATGCTCAACCCCAGGCCCTGGCCTCCCAGGCCCCTGGTCCCCGCTCATCCCTTCCCCTCTCAGGCCTT